TTAATTAAATATTAATAAACAATACCGCTATTACGGACATTGACCGTTGACCGTAAGCGTTCAATGTTCGTCGTCCGCCCTATCTGAACTCGAGCCTTGTATTCACCCCTGACCACACGTGTGAGATGATAAATGTTGATTTTGATAATGCTAATCTTTTTGTAATTTGGATAGAGCTTAATTGTAATCTTAATTTGATAAAGTTTAATAGTAATCATAATTCTATTATTTAAAATCAATTCTTATTCAAATCCTTTATATTACATCGTTTTTAAATTCTAGTTGCATACAAACTCAATTGAAAATTTCAACTATAAATATTGTATGAATTCCTATTATTTTACCACGGAATAAAAAAAGCCACGAGAGAGAGAGGAAAAGCTATAGAAAAATAGGAGAACTTTTACATGCAAAATTTTATTCTTTTCAACATTTTAAAATCAAAGTAAAATACTTTTTTGCAAGTTGTTCATTATCCATGAATTGCCAGTGGCCTTCAAGTTCTTTATTAAGAGATATGAGATCGTACGAAAATTTAAAATGACCTAAGATGAGTGAGTCGCTTGGTCACCAATATACTCAATAAGAGAAGAGTGGTATGAAATATTTATTTTATTATTGTATAATTGTATATAAAAACTGTAAGTATCTTACTGGATATTTTTAAACACACTTACAAAATTTTACAGGTTAGTTCGGATAGATTGGAACTATGGCGAGATAGTGATACAGACTGCCAAAGAAATCAAAAGAAAAATACACATTAAGTTTTTTTTGTCTTCAATTTATTAGTTAATTTAATTCGGTCAAAGACATGTTATTTAATTAGATAAGTGATTATGTTATTTTCTTAACGATAAAATTTTCTTGTATAGTTTAAAATTATGGATATTCCAGTTATTTTTTTAATTAAAGAATATTATTTTTGTCGTTCCGCCTTTGATACAAAGAAAATTGAATTTTGGTAACAGTTCAATATTTATGAAAATTGGTGTGTTACAATTCAAGCTTTGAAGAAGCTTCATTACAAAATACATCCATATATTAATTTTATACATATATTGATTGGGTGTAAGAAGAAAAATAAGAAGAATCAAAGCACATTGAATCAATGAGCTTTTAAAGAGATTCAAGACTTTCAAAATTTGTTTCCATCTTCTTCCAATTCTTTAATTTCGGCTGATGTTATAATAATTTATTTTGTAATTAATATATTGGTTGGCTAATTGTATGGATACTATGATAATGTTGAATCCTACGTTTTGATATTTTGTTATTCAAATATGGATTTTAACATTGAATGTTTATTGTATTTTGAATGATTGTTAGGAGGTTAATTCTTTTCATTTAATTGATTTGTAATCGAATTGTGTTGTGATCTCTATTGACATTAGAGAGAATGAATAGGAATTTTTCACGTAGTAGCAATCATTTAATCAAATAGGGGATAGAGATATACGGTTACGATTTACATGATCTTTATCAATGTTCTTGTGATTTAATGTATCTTTTCACGTTTACGCCCTTCATATAGATATAGAAAAGTTACGTATGAAGATAAGTTTAGTTCTGCTCGAGCGATTATTGAATGAATTAGGAACATTGATATTTATATGCAAATAGGTGTTGTCAACTAACAAAATTGATATTGAAATGGATGAATGTAGGAAGATTTGAAGTCCTAGTGTAATACGTCTATTATTTGAGTTTCATAATGCTTCCCATTAATTAGTTAAGGGTTTATTCTTTTTTCTTTAATCAAGACTCTGTCCTCATTTTTTTATTACATGGATTTAGTTAAGTTGTTTTTCATTCCTTATTTATAAGAATAATGAAATAATTGTTAATTCAGATCATATTATAATCAAACCCAACTTATTAATTGGTCTAAGGGTAGGTTGCTTCCTAAGGTGGGATCCAAGGAGAGTAGTGTTTGTGTGTGAAGGATCATGCTTCAATAAAATCCATTTATTCTTGACATTCAAATCTCAATCCAATCAAATCTAGGAAAATTGGACAATAAATATTTAAGTAAAATCAGAAGTGGTCAAGGCCATTTATGAGAAACCCCATGTGAGAAATCAAATAAAGTCCCAACATTGTATTCTATATATTAAAGGGGATAGGGATGTTATCCTGTCCCTTTATATGTTAATAGGGTATGGACCCTTCTTTTTAAAGTGCATTGAATCCTTCTAAGTAACTTTATTTATACATGATCCCTATGGATAAATCTTTTTTTTTTTTTTTCATTTGAGGATATATATTGGATGATATTTTGACGAGAATATGTGCATGGATATAAGTTCTTAATCGATAAGAGAGTTTGAAAAAAAAAATTCTACAATAACTGGACGTGGATTTCGTAATGAGTTCATAAAGGAATTGAACTACTTTTAATGAGGGTAACCTTTTGGACAAGACTCGAACACCCTAGATGTGGTATGATAGCTAGGCCCTAAAAAGGGAGGGCGCACAAGATGCATCTCTAGTTGTAACCGGGTAAAACGTGGACCCCAATTAGTTCATTATTCAAAATTATCTGTAGTTTGTGCTCAAATGTGGTCATACCAACACGATGGCTCTTGATGTAGTGGAAGAACTAGGCATTGATGTAGCGTGTGATCATTCCTGATTTAAGGAAGGGGATGAAAGATTATTGTTTAAAGCCTAGAGCAAGATGAAGCGATACTCCGTCTCAAGTGAGACTATTGAGAAAGGGACAACAAAATCCTACCGCTACTAAACAAAGACTAAATATCGAATTTATAAGGAAACTACTACTATTATTAATAGAAAATTCTTTTTAGCATGAACAACAATTCATACAATTCAGTCATGAAATGAAATTTATTGAAGAATTTAATGTGTTGATTTTATGAAATAAAAAAGAGAAGAAAAATATAAAATTAATTTGTTAGTTGATTGATTTTTAACTTTTTTGGGCAGTGACGAAAAAGACAAATTTACCCAAATTCTAAATTGTTTTTTCCATTAGTTGTCCATTGTGCTAGGTGGGTTGAATTCAATTCGTAACCAAATTTTAAATTGTAATGGAAACCTTGTCCACATGCTGTTTGAATTTCGTATTCAATGGTTGTGTGGCCCGTATTCGTAGCGAAATGTCCTAATTCAATTGGCCTACCAACTTTCTTTTGTCTGTAAAATATTTTAGTTCAAATGTGCTTCGATTTTATTTAATCGAGTAAATTAATTTTAACTTGATCGCAACTAAAACAATTTCATCTAATTGTCACTTAAACGAACAAAAATCACTGACTTTGATGTCCAATTCAATGGGATTAAGATACGAAATGTGTAAAAATTTATGAAATGAACAAAAATATAAGAAAGTGTACAAAAAAATTACGAAAATGTGTCAAATAAAGCACGAAATGCATTTAAAAAAAACAAAACTGTATGAAATAGACAAAAATATATCAAAACATACAAAAATGTATACTAAACGGTGTAAATTCCAATAGTGGGAATCGTACTTTCACTCGAAGGCGAATTATAAGGGGGCAGGTTGGGCCTATAGCCGAGGCCCGCCTAGCCTAGATGCAAAGATAAATGTTTTACAAAATGAACAATAAATGTTTACTGTATTCAATTTCATTTTTAAGAAAAAGTGTTTAAACCTTTAAAAGTCAAATAGTAAGTGTGTGTATATATATAATTCTTGAAATGGCTTAATAGCACAAAACGTCCCTACATTTTATTTTTTTGCATTTTCACCCTTATTTCAACGTTCATTGCAGAAAACGTCATTTTCACTGTTTTTATTGTAAAATGACCAATATACCCTTCTATATAAATTTTAAAAAAAATAAAATAAAATTAAGAAAATAAATTGTAATTATAGTCCCAAACTTTTTAAAAA